CCGAATACGACGGTCGAAACGTCAATCAAGAATAATGTTAATAGAATAATAAATTACTAAATAATCAACACTACATCAACCGTGTTTATATGCTCTTATTGGTTGATATTCTCAAAGTATTTATAAAATTCGGAGCATCACATACTTTATTCAGATTTATTACTGACAACCTTACTGGAACTTTTATACCTTTCTTTCTGTTTGCTGATTGTTTCTTTCATGATACATCTTGTTCCTCAAACAGTACTCTTTTTTTATAACTTTCTTCGCATATATGACATGTGTAGTAAACACGAATTCCATATTTATCTTCCAGTATTTGTGACTCGAAAACATTACCACACATCTTAAAAAGAATAATACATATTATATTCACTTTAAGAAATCAGTGCAGTATATTTTATTAATACATTCGGAAAACGTACTTGGCACTTAAAAGGGTACTTAAAATGACGTTTGATATGGATTTGTAGATTTGTCTTGGTTTTGAAAGTTTGATCGCATATGGCACAGTTGAACGGACGCAACGACGAATGAACTGCTTCATGTTCAGTTGAACTCTGTTTTGTACTTAAACATTTATCACATACCTTAAAAAGAATAATACACATTGTCATTTTGAGAACTCAATACGGAAAATATTTGATGAATACAATCGAAAAACATACTTGGTTTTTAGAAGGTTTCTCAGAATCAGAATAATGACATTTAGAATGGTATAGTAGAGTTTCCTTAGTTTTAAACATTTTATCGCATATATCACATTCATACGGGCGCAACGACGAATGAACTTTTTTATAAGCAGTTAATTTTTTTTTTGTCGAAAAACGGTTACCACGTTTCTAAAAAAGTATAGTATACATTATTATCACTGTGATAAATTAATGCGCAATATATTTGAAGAATGCAATTAAACAACGTACCTGACATCTATAAGGTTTTTTACCAGAAGAATGATTGTTACCTTGTTGCTCCATATTTCACTTACGTTGAAAAGTTGTTTTGCACGTGTCACAATCGTATGAACGCAATGATGAAAATGTACAGTTTTATAAATATTCAAATCGCATTATTATACAATAGGTACATAATTAAATTTAGTGAAAGTTAAACAGACTGAAAGAAAAAAAAAGAAGATTGAGGATAGACAAAAAGAAAGTGAGAACGTAACTGACTGCTTGATTCTGACTGACTGACTGACTGACTGCCCGCCTCGGTTCGAGAGAGCGCTTTTAGGGCCTGAGTTCGGCCAAGGAAGGTTCTGGAGTTTTCCTTATTTGGTAATATTCTAGAGCATTTTCGAATGTTCGAGAATAATCTAGAATGTTTCAGATTCGGCTGTGTGCTAGGACATACATTTCCTGTGTCGAAAAATTGCCTTCTATTGTAAGGTATTTCGAAGGGTCAATGGTGCGTCACAGTTGTATAGCTAACCGTCAGTTTTTATGATACTTAAAATAACCATGGAAATTCTAGAATCTACGCGTAGCAACTAGACTAAGCTAGACAATGGTCACAACTGAAAAAGCAAATGGTTTCTCTGCAAATAGATCTCGGGCATTTGGATGGTCTAGTAAGCGAATACGATCGGACACTTAAAGAACAATAGAAAGAATCTGAAACTTAACAGGTTTATCGGTTTACGATAGGAAAGTCGGGAGACTCGCGTTAAACAATTTTAAGTTGCAGTTAAAACAAATTACATAAAAAACAGATGCGTACTTGAAATCGAAAGTGATCTTGATAAACACGCGGTTACCGTTACGCACTCCTTACTTAAGTGGCGAGCGCAGTCATTTCGCACACCACATCTCGATACATCGGTTCGTGGGGGGTTGAGACGAGCTCACGCGAACTATACAACGCGAATTTATACTTGCAATTATGTCCGCTCGTTTGTTTCGTACCGCTCTATCACAGCTCTTGATTGCTAATTTATGAAAATTGCTCGCGGTAGTAATCATAATAAGGATATCAAGCTTTACTTCGGTTGTTGCAATATATATGTTTGCGA